TCACCTGCTTCACAACCGTGGCTGATGCCAGTAATCAAACGCTGAAGAGCGAAACTGTGGTAAAGGGGTTAGTACTGTTCTCTTCATTACTGATTCCATAAGGAATAGACTCTTGCGTACAAGATTCTTAGCTGACATCATTTAAAAACCTTCCAGACTACCAGTGAGTGAATCAGAATTTCTGGATTTTTTAAAAAAGATTTTATTTATTTGAGAGAGAGAGAGAGAGAGAGAGAGAACACAAGCAGGGAGAACAACAGAGAGAGAGGGAGATGCAGGCTCCTCACCGAGCAGGGAGCCTGATATGGGGCTTGATCCCAGGACCCCAAGGTCATAACCTGAGCCAAAGACAGATGCTTAACTGACTGAGCCACCCAGGCCCCCTGAGAATTTCTGGATTCTAACACTCTGAAGATTCCTTCCAATCCAGGCATACTTCATGAAAGCCCATCGCTTGATCCAAGATCCTGGGAAATAAGAGCTACATAGAACTGACTGAACTTATGAGGAAAATTTTAAGGTGGTTGCTTGTATGAAATATTGCATGAATTTCTGATATTTTATTTTCTATGGATACAAGTAGAACCCCTTCTTTCTCTTCCTTCTTAATTCATCTCTGTCAATTTAGTAGACTATGCATCAGTAAACTGAAACTATTTATTTATTTATCTATATTTTTTTAGAGAGGGTGTCAGGGGAGAGGCAAAGGGAGAGGGGAAGAGAGAATCTTAAGCAAGCTCATGCCCAGCACAGAGCAGATGGAGGGCTTGATCTCAGGCCGAAAAATCAAGAGTCCGAGGCTTAACCACCCGAGCCACCCAAGCACCTCTGAAATGAACCATTTTATTTTATTTTTTATTTTTTTTTAAAGATTTTTTTATTATTTATTTGACAGACAGAGATTACAAGTAGGCAGAGAGAGAGGAAGGGAAGCAGGCTCACTGCCAAGCAGAAAGCCCGATGTGGGGCTCGATCCCAGGACCCCGAGATCATGACCCGAGCCGAAGGCAGAGGCTTTAACCCTCTGAGCCACCCAGGCGCCCCTGAAATGAACCATTTTAAAATGGTGTTTGATTCTCTCTGTTGGCCTCAGTATTCTGAAGCAAATACTTTAAGTGAGTCTCCTTACTTTTCATACTTCTGTTGGCATAGATTCAGTAACAATCTGTCCTTTTTACCAAGATACAATCAGATAAATAGATTTTTCAACCAAAGCCATACCCAGAAGTTTATATTTGAGAAGGCTGCTCTCAATCAGGTGTAGGAAGTCCATGCCAGGGAACAAAGGGTTGACTTTATACGTAGAGCTAACGCCTACAAAGCCCTCCCCCAAAATAGAGGTAAGGAAAGGCCCTTCCCGGAAAGGCAGGGACCTTAACAAATTTTGCAGACTTCAAAAAGGGAGGAATTCTTAAAAAAAAATAAATTAATTAATTAAACATTTAAAAAAAAAAAGGGAGGAATTCACCCTGATTTAGTGATATTGTAGGTGAAATCCAGTGGAACGACTTTCTTGGGTCTGGGGCCCCAGACTTGGAGTAGAGTAGCAAATAATCAAGGCTTTTAAAGGTCTGAGATACCTTATGAAAATTTCTGAATAGAAGGTAATTTTGGGGGGTCTATGTAGTTGCTCAGTAAACTAAGATTCTAGATTTGCAGAGAAAACTTGCCCCTATGGTTAAATTGCTGTATATATATAAATAAGCAGGTCAATATAGTAAGACCAACTTTTTATGATCAAGAATATTCTTTGAATATTTGTTATTTATTTAAAGTTTTACTTAAATTCCAGTAGAGTTACCATACAGTATAATATCAGCTTAAAATGTACAACACATACAATACCCAATGCTCATCACGGTAACTGAACATCACCTATTTCACCCATCCCCCCTACCCGCCTCGCCTCTGGGAACCATCAGTTTATTCTCATAGTTAAGAGTCTGTTTCTTGATTTCCCTCTTTTTCCCCCCGTGCTTGCTTTTCTTGCTTCTTAAATTCCACAGCTGAGTGAAATCATATGGTATTTGTCTTTCTCTGACTTATTTCATTTATAATACTCTCTAGTTCCATCGATGTGATTTCATTCTTTTTTATGGCTAATATTCATAATTATCTGAAAGCTTGGAAAATAAAGAAATAAGAGTGGCACAGCTTCCCTTATGTTGGATAGGAGTCTGCCCAGGGATAATCTGGGATAGTGATTCTCAAAATGAGGTCCCTAGACCAGCAGCATCACTTGGAAACTTGTTAGAAATTACAGTTCTTGGGTCCCACCCCAGATTAACTGAATCCGAAACACTGGGGAGGAGACCCATACATCTGTGTGTTAGTCAGTCCTCCACGTGATTCTGATATACACGAAAAGTTTGAGAACCCTTAACTACTCAGTTCAACTCACTGTTCCTATTAGTTTAAGGTGTCAGACTTAATGAAGTTATCTGTTATATAACAGGTTATCTGATAGATTTCTATCTGGAGATGCACATCATTTCTGTCTGGGAGAAAAGATAGTCTCAAAGGTTATGGTCTGTAGGCTTATTGGACATTAACCAGATTTGCATCTGACTCAGCAATCTTATATACTTACATTGCCTAAAATACTTAGTTCTTGGAATTAATTTTAATGTCTTACTTGTTCCCTTATGAGAAATTGAGTTGAAGAAAATCTTTGACAAATGTTCACTTTATATGTACATGTGAATAATGGTTTTTAACCTTTCAAAAATTATTATCAATGTCCTTCACACCGTGGTGGTAATGAGCCCTAACATGAAGCAGTGAGTTCTTCTGATGGCAAGACTATATCCTTTTACTCAGTATTTTATCCTCCTATCAAGCACAGTGTCTGGTACATAAGTCATGAATAAATATTGTGCAGTCAGTAAACACTCCCTAAAAGATATTTGATTTTTTAAAAAAAGATTTTATTTGTTTGAGAGACAGTACACACACGGTGTGAACAAGCAGGAGAAGGGGCACAGGAAGAGGGAGAGAGAATTTCAAGCCAATCCGTGCTCAGCAGGGGGACCCTATGCAGCGCTGGATCTCAAGACCCTGATGAGATCATGACCCAAACTAAAACCAACAGTTGGACATTTAACTGACAAAGCCACCCAGGCACCCCAAAGGCATTTGATTTTTAGGAGAGGAATTTACAACTGCTTCTTAAGGATCATTCCTGTTGTTCTAATTAACTTGTATTAGTGTCTACTTCTTAAGGGACTTTTCTGGCATTTGTTATCAGGGTCCTTGAGGCTAAAAGATGACAGAATTGGAGAGGGGAATTTTCTCTAAGATATTCTCTGAGATCTGTTGATCTAAGAATCAGAGTAGGAGTTAGGTGATTATTTTAGATTCCATTCCAGCATAAGTCCTTTGAGCAGCTCTTCAGCTGCGGAGAGCACTTGTAAGCATCACACACACACTGATGTGCCCAAATAGATCATTGAGTTTTACCTTATAGTAAGAACAGGAACTAACACTTTGTGGGTATGTACCACATAACTAACAAGAAAAGGAACCAAATGGAAGGGTTAATGTTTTAGATAAGTCAATCAGAAGTGCTGGAAAATCAATTTAAAATCTATGCCTGACAATGGGTGAAACACTAGTGCTGTTTTCACATATTATTTAGATGGCCTTTGGAATGAACAGCCATCATTTTTCTCTCCTTTCTCTGCGGTTTTCTTTCTGGCAGCCTTTGCCTTTTGTGTTCCAGGAAGTCCAGGGGCAATGGTGGATTGTTAACCAGACATTCCCATTCTCCCCCCAACTCCAATGTAGCAGTCTATTTATATCCCATCCTTGATTTCTCACTCCTAGAAACTTAAATCTTGAGCACAATGATAGACAAGGGGGTTTTAAGCTAAACATTACCAAAACAGCATCCAAAACAATTGACCCTGATTTCCTGATTGAGATCCCTGGCCTAGTTTTCTTCCTTTGTATTGTCTGCTTCTTTTAGCTTTCCTCTCCATTCTGTGTTTTCCATAATTCCCTTTTGCTTCAACTAGATGAAATTTATATGGTTTACAAACCAAGTATCATAACCGAGGTAACATCTATTTTCCAGATTAAATAATTTAACGCTAGTCTCACACTCATTGAGTAAGCAAAATTCCGGCCCATGGCTCTTTTCTAGATTTTGGTGTAACACAAGTTTGTGCTCCTTTAGTGGAATTAAAGAACATCTGACTTTTATTGAAGGACTAATGTTTCCTCCTGGAAAACTTTTTTTACAAGAGAAAAATATTCTGAATATATTTCTAAAAATGACAATTAAGTCTTTGTTGATTGACTTACATTTGATTTATTTTAATTATATTGTTTGATCTAATGTAGTGTCCTGGCAGGACAGAAGGTTAAACTAAAAATCCCAAAGTAATCAATTTTAATCAACTAAAATAAAAAAAAAAAACACCTTTACCCTAAAGATACAAATGTAGTGATCCAAAGGGGTACTTGCACCTCAATGTTTATAACAGCAATGTCCACAGTAGCCAAACTATGGAAAGAACCTAGATGTCCATCAACAGATGAATGGATAAAGAAGATGTGGTATATACAATAGAATACTATGCAGCCATCAAAAGAAATGAAATCTTGCCATTTGCGATGACATGGATGGAATTAGAGGGTATTATGCTGAGCGAAATAAGTCAATCAGAGAAAGACAATTATCGTATGATCTCCCTGATATGGGGAAGTTGAGAGGCAACGTGGGAGGTTTGGGGGGTAGGAAAGGAATAAATGAAACAAGATGGGATCAGGAGGGAGACAAACCATAAGAGACTCTTAATCTCACAAAACAAACCGAGAGTTGCCGGGGGTAGCGGGGTAGACTATGGACATTGGGGAAGGTATGTGCTATGGTGAGTGCTGTGAAGTGTGTAAATCTGGTGATTCACAGACCTGTACCCCTGGGGCTAAAAATACATTATGTTAATAAAAAAATTTTTTAAATTAAAAAAAAAACTACCATGCAAACTAACAGAAAAAGTACTTTATTTATTTATAACATCATTTTGTAAACAATCACACTGTGCATTTTTAAATTCAACAAAAACAAATTTTTTTTCCTTTAGATTTATAGCAAACCTGTGTGAAGTCAATGAGTTAATACAACAGTGAAGATGAACAGGGTAGAATAATTTTTGAAAATGTTAAATTATAGCACTTGATACAAAGACAGATAACTATCTGTACCATAAAAATTTACATGCCACAAAACATTAATTTATAATTTTAAATATGCAGTAAAACACATTTATAAAAAAGCATCAACATTAATTTTATTATAAACCAGTGAATTATTCAGAGGAATATTAAAACTTACTAAAACCAGTAAATTTTGCAACTGAGGTAAAAATTTATAAGTAAACAAAACTATCATTTATAAGAGCCGAAAAGTAAATGGAAGGGCAGACAACACTTCCTGATGACTATGTCTATTCCTTGATATTCTGAAGCAGCTTCAGTAAATGTGACTCAATGACCTGTTGAACTGGAACAGACAGGTTATCAAGACCACAGCATGTTGATCATAAAACTTTACACAGAACTGTCAAGTTCAACTTAACATCAACTTTTCCTTAAAATAAAGTTATTTCAGGGCACCTTGGTGGCTCAGTGGGTTAAGCCTCTGCCTTTGGCCCAGGTCATGATCCCAGGATCCTGGGATCAAGCCCCGCATTGAGCTTTCTGCCCAGCAGGGAACCTGCTTCTCCCTCTCTGCCTGCCTCTCTGCCTACTTGTGACAACTCTCTCTCTGTCAAATAAATAAATAAAATCTTTAAAAAATACTAAAAAGTAAAATAAAATAAAGTTTTCCTCCTATTCTGAGGATATACTCCTCAGTATACTGAGGAGCATACAGGATATACTCCTATTCTGAGGATATACCCATTTTCTGATGATGGTAAGATTGCAATACACTACTTAGAGCACTTAAAACTTAGCCTGTCACTGACTTAGTGATCGTCCAAATTCCTGGATTCTGTTCTCGTACAAGGTGTGTTCTAAAGAACAGAGAAAGGGCAACTATAAAGCATTTTATAAGTAATTTGCTACAAAAATGTTAAACAACTCTTGTCTGTAAATAGATGTGTACTCTTGCAATGAATTATTTGGGTTGGTGTCAATTAATAGTAACAAACTCATTTCCAGACTTTGTAAGAATTTGTTGATTTTGCCCACAGTTAAAAGTTACTGTCAGGAGTTAGGATAACATGCCGTATTTATGACTACAAATGATGAAAATAGTTTAGTCCACGAGTCTGTACTATTTACAGAGTTTTACCAATTAAAATAAAACCTGAGGGGCGCCTGGGTGGCTCAGTGGGTTAAAGCCTCTGCCTTCAGCTTGGGTCATGATCCCAGGGTCCTGGGATTGAGCCCCGCATCGGGCTCTCTGCTCAGCGGGGAGCCTGCTTCCCCCCTCTCTCTCTGCCTGCCCCCTGCCTACTTGTGATCTCTGTCAAATAAATAAATAAAATCTTAAAAAAAACAAACAAACCTGACAGTTCTAAAATACTTACCACTTCTATAGCCCAAGGCTACAGCTAAATCCATAGAATTATACCCAGAGTCCGTTTCGATGGTTGGGTCAGCTCCATTTTCTGTACCAAAACAGAAAAATCTGCATAAATAAAATGAAAATGTAGGTATGTTTGTCTGTGCCTAGCTCAGTGCAAACGGCAGGACAGATCCTCAGCAGAGTGCACAGAATTCACTTTGGCGGGTCAGGGGTTGGATGCCTCAAACAAACAGCGGTCCTCGCTAACCGATGAAACTCATCAACAACCTTAGACAAAACTTATGCCCACAGACACTGTGGACAGGAAAACAACGATGGATTCAGACATGATCCTCAAGAGGAAGCAACAGGGACAAATGTTCCAAGCACAGGTGTGCTGCAGGACAGAGCTGCTTCTCCATGTGCAGCTCTGTGGCCGCGGGTGCTTCAGCAGAGTTAACAATATTTAATAATAGTTAGTCATTCTCTTGAGTGACACCAGGGCAGCCAGCTTGTTAAAAATTAAAGTCCTCACATGGTATTTTCTAAATATCACTTTCATTGGCTTACCTAAGAGCATTTTTACACATTTAACATGATTTCCATGTACAGCATAAAGCAAAGGTGTCCCTCCATTCTGCAAAGGAAAAGGTGATTTAGTTTTTCAAGGTGAGCAAGAGTGGAATAACTTAATGTTGCTGTGAGATGTTTTACTAAAAACGGTATGTAAAAGTCGTTTAAGGCAATTTTTTTCACAATTTTCATATTTTGTGAAGAATATTTAAATCAGAATAACTGAGTTCATACCATTAACTTTTTCTTCTACATGTTTAATTAGCTATTTTTTCCAAATGTCTAGTAAAATTTTTTATGTCTCTCCAAACTAAATAATTCCTAGGATTTATTACAGTATTTTAAAAATTAGTACTATAGGGGGCGCCTGGGTGGCTCAGTGGTTAAAGCCTCTGCCTTCGGCTCAGGTCATGATCTCAGGGTCCTGGGATCGAGTCCCGCATCGGGCTCTCTGCTCAGCAGGGAGCCTGCCTCCTCCTCCTGTCTCTCTCTGCCTGCCTCTCTGCCTACTTGTGATCTGTCAAATAAATTTAAAAAGAAATCTAAAAAAAATAAAAATAAAAATAAATAAATAAATAAAAATCAGTACTATAGACTCACCCAATCATATTCATTTACATCAACTCCACAATCAAGCAGCATTTTGACAATATCTGTGTAGCCTTTACTACAGGCCAATGAGAGTGCACTTTCTCGACCTTTTCCTAAAAGCTGGGGATCAGCACCCTGGAGTGGCAAGGAGAGATGAAAGACTTTTCAATTCATTTAAATAAGAACATTATTATTTCTGTCAATAAGAATTACAGTTCAGTACTTAGGCCAAGTAATGTTCTTCACTTAATAATGCAAACTTCTACTCACGGATGTCCTTATTATCACGGTTGTCTGGAGGCCTTCCTTTCTCCCTCTATCTTGAGGCTAACTATCCTTCCACTCTGGAGTTAAGTTACATCTCCCCCATGAAGCCTCTCCTACAATGCTAATCATTCTTTTGTTCCCACTGCACTCTGAGGGAGCCAGGCATGAGATTCTCTCTTGCTGTTTCATGTATGATTAGTCTTATCTGCCCAACTAGATCCACGTTTCACAAGAATACAAAAAGCGTGCAAAACTTTTCTGGATCCTCTACCATTACATCTAGTTGGCTGGAGATACAAAATCTTTACTCAAGACTTAAGTAACTACATGTACACATTTTCCGAGGCAGTTTCCTTACATTTTGAAGTAGAAACTCTACCACAGCTATTTGCCCGTGTGCTGCAGCCCACATCAAAGGAGTAAATCCTTCTTCATCTGTGTGATTGATAACATTTTCTATTTAAAAGAAAAACAATTTTTGTAATCTAATTTAACAACCATCTATTAATATCATTATGAAAATACTGGCATTCTAAAAGGTGGATTATACTACTCAATGAGGTTCACTTCCTGCTGACTTATTTGCTGTCCTATTATGTGAATTTGTACCATTAACTTTTTCTTTTTCCACGTGTTTAATTAGCTAAGTTAATTAACTAATAAGCAAAGGTGTTCCTCCATTATTTATAATCTTGAAGTAGAACAGTCTTTTGAAGAAGGATATAAAACTCAGAAGTTACAAGGAAAAAAATGAATTTACCACTACAGAATGTTAAACTTGTGTTGAAAACATGAGAATCAAAGGAAAATGACTGGTTAAAAAAAAAATATGCAACATAAATAACAAAAAATGAATTTTTAAAATTTAGATGAGGTCATATAAATCAATATATATCAGGCAGTTAACATACGAAAGAGCCTAAATAGAACCTAATTCAAAAAATCTAAACAAGGGGTGCCTGGGTGGCTCAGTGGGTTAAAGCCTCTGCCTTCGGCTCGGGTCGTGATCCCAGTGTCCTAGGATCGAGCCCCACATCTGGCTCTCTGCTCTGTGGAGAGCCTGCTTCCTCCTCTCTCTGCCTGCCTCCCTGCCTGCTTGTGATCTCTCGCTCTGTCAAATAAATAAATAAAATCTTAAAAAAAAAAATCTAAACAAAACCAGTGTGAGATACCATTTTTCACCAGAGATTAGCAAAGATTAAAATCTGATAATACTTTGTGTCACTGAGGTTATGGGGAAATACAAACTGTAACTCTGGAGTGAGGACAGGACAGATACCTGGCAATATATGTAAAAGCAAAAAATCCATGTACCTTTTGACCCAGCAAATAAACTTGTAGGAACTTACACTATACATAAAAAGAATGCCAACAGGAATGTTACTTAATACTGAGAAACTGAAATCAACCATCACCAAAGAGATTGGTTAAAAATAAAAATACAGTATGTATGTATGCAGCAATACAAAACTATGGACCTATTAAAAAGAATGAAATAGGGGCGCCTGGGTGGCTCAGTGGGTTAAAGCCTCTGCCTTCGGCTCAGGTCATGATCTCAGGGTCCTGGGATCGAGCCCTGCATTGGGCTTTCTGCTCAGGATCAAGTCCTGGGATCGAGTCCTGTCTGGTGGGGGGGTTGCCCCGGCCTAGCAGGGAGTCTGCTTCTCCTTCTCCCTCTGACCCTCCCCTCTGCTTATTCTCTCTTTCAAAATAAATTAAGAAAATCCTTAAAAAGAGAGAGAGAAGTAAAAAGAAATAAATCTTTATGTGCTCATATGGAAAGATCTCCAATTAAGGGAAAAAAAGTGCAATGCAGTGTGATAATATTTTCCCTCTTGTGTACATACCAAAAAGTAAATCCATGTTTTCACATATAACCCTAAAAATAAACAGAAATGTTTTCTAAAAGAGTTTCCTAACGGGGCGCCTGGGTGGCTCAGTGGGTTAAGCCTCTGCCTTTGGCTCAGATCATGATCTCGGGGTCCTGGGATCGAGCCCACATTGGGCTCCCTGCTCAGCAGGAAGCCTGCTTCCCACCCCCAGCCCCCACCTGCCTTTCTGCCTACTTGTGATCTCTGTCAAATAAATAAATAAAATCTTTAAAAAAAATAAAAATAAAATAAAAGAGTTTCCTGGAAACATAAGAAATTTATAATGTTTACTTCTGGGGAAAAGGTGGTAAGGGAGGCTGTAACTTTTGTACTTTGTAGTACTTTATTTTTTTTACTACCTATGGAGTTATGTGCCTGGTGAGATTATGCAATTATTGTTTTTTTTGTCTTTATACTTTCCTATATTAAAATAAAACAACAAAAATCTAATAAATCCAATTAAATATGTTTTAAGCACAGTTAAAAAAACAGGCTATTACCTTGTTCAATCCGAGTAGCTAGGTAGAGCATCTCTCCCTGAGCAGCCAACTGATGAACAGATAAAGCTGAAAAGATACCACAAAAAGCTTCATGTTTTTCTACCTAGAGAGTACGCTTTCGTTATGTCATTCATATTTGTGCAATTCTTTTTTCTAAAAAAAAAAAACCTCTCATTTTATTGTTTAAAAAAATTTAACCTAAAATATATCCTAAAGGGGTGCCTGGGTGGCTCAGTGGGTTAAAGCCTCTGCCTTCGGTTCGGGTCAT